GATTATATGCTGTGCGTACCAGCACATTATAGCTAAAAGCTCCAGGGGGGCTGTTCTTTTTTTTAACCTAGTTTTACTTCCACTTTAAAATAATGAAACCAAACCTAAACAGGAACATGCTGGTCTGTAGTGGTGATGTGAACATGGATAGACCCATTATGTCACACAAAGAATGACTATGTATTGTTCCATGTAAAAAGAAACTGGCTGCAGATTGTAAGGTCAGTTCTCCTGGAAGGCTTAAAGATGGATGCAGTATGATCACACCACAAGTAGTTATCACCGTATCGGGAATGTCTACAAATGCTGAACACACCCTGAAAACATCCTGATGGATTATGTTGCCTGTGTCTGGGTCAGAAGTTGGGCGTAGCTTTATGAATGACCATAAGTAGGTAAGAATATCACATCACATACCAAATTTATTCTGCGAGATTTTGGGCTTAGAACATAAGAAATAAAGTTCCTGTAAAAAATGTTCTCAATATTAAATGTTACTTTATGAGTCGCTAGAAAGACTTTCTGCACAATCAAAGGGCTAAGGTAAGTTGATTGTTTTTAGTGACTAGGTAGAATGTAATTAACCTCTTCAGGTCCTACACCCATATATATATTACAGACCATAGCAATGATTACATTTTTGCTATTGGTCTGTTTATTTAGCAATAATTTTGTCATTAACAACTTGAGGACCGCCATATGTTTGTATACGTCGCTGTCTTGAAGTGGTTGTACCAAGATCATGGCTGCAGCAGCCATTAACCTTGGTATTTTTTTTTTCCAGCAGGCGGATCTCGTTCTTAAAGGAGAACTATGGGGTCAGGGCTTTTCCCCATAGTTTACCTAAGGGTAACGGGAGGACACAAACTCGCATCCTCCCGTCACCAAAAGCTCAGTATACCGCGAGCTACAGCTCGCGGTATACTGAGACGCCACAGCCGGGACGGATCCCGGCATTACTGTCAAGATCCACCCTGCTGCGTGATTGACAGCTGGCTCTGCCTATCTAGGGAGCTGTACCCACCCCCTCCCCGTCCATCCGCCAGTCAGCGCTGGAGGATCGGACGGGGGAGGGGGGAATCTCTGCAGGGAGCCGTGAGTGATGGCTCTCTGCAGGGACAGGATCGAGAAGTGAGCGATCGACGGTATGTAGCTATTACAAAATTGCATAGCTATATGCAAAATAAACCATAGTCACACAAAGGTGACCTATTTATTGTTTTCTTTTTAATTCTAATTAATTCATTCTACCCGTCATTCTTCATTTATCTATATCTTGCTGCCTTAGGCAAAGCATTCACTTTACTTTATTGTATAAATCCTTCTGCCTAAAAAAAGACTTTCATAAAGGTATCTTAACGTTTTAACAATAATTCTCTACTGGGAATAAAAGAAAAAGCCACTCTGTCATATTCAAACCTTTCAGCAACTATGACATGTAATGCGCATAGACAGGTCTGTCTCTAATATTGTGTAATTAGCTCAGTGAAAATTGATGAGTTGTTGAGCAATGCCTGACCACACACTACAAAAAGAGGAGGACCAAGTGAGATCAGGTTGCTTTGGAGAACCATGAAGCATTAATATGCTATATTAGGGATATTCAACATTTCTCTTTGTCAACTGTTTTAGTAGTAATGTTCAAACTTTCAGTAATGTTTCAAACTGCAGCTATTATAAAAGCTAAAGTTTAGAATGTGGCAAAAAAATTAGAACTTCCTAACTACTAACTTAAAAAGAATTATAAAACTTAGTTGATAATTATAAATCTTCATCAAAAACAGGATCGTTTTCCACACAGTAATGGGAATGTATTAAAAAGCACGAGGGGTTTTTATGGGGTATAACATAAAAAATGTTATACATATGCTGGTCTCAAAGGACTTTTTTTTTTAGATTCCTAAAGAGAATCCTGCCCCGACATCCATACTGGGCAATGCGCATATACCTGGCACAGGGTCCAGCACACCAATGGCCAAAGCTGCACAAATCCTGGCTGCGCCCAGGTACCAGCATTGCTGGTCTGTGCATCTCAATGGGGAGCAAACTTTTGAAAACGACAATTATGCCACACGTTACATATCACCGCGAACCTCGGAGAGGAATAATTCTAGGGCCATCACTCACTGTTAACACTAAATTGATGAGCGGTAAGGTTGGGCTCACACCTGGGCGTTCCTAATAGGCGCGTTTTATGCACGTTTTTGCGCACGTTTTTTAACCTCCCTGGCGGTATGGTTTTTTATTCCTTTTTTATTATTCTGTTTTTTGTATTTTTTTTTTACTTTTAAACTTCCTGCCGGTTCCGCCCCCCTGCGACGCGGACGCTCGCAAGGGACGGAACCCTGAAGCCAGCACTGCAGGGATCGTGGACAAGGCAAGACCTACACTATATCCCCGAGTGTGGCTCGCGGTTACCGCTTTGTTACAGAAATTTAACCCCGAGCCACACTTGGGAATACCAATGAATACGCGCTGAAATCTGCCCCTACGCGCGAAAAAGAAGCTAAAGTACTTTTTCGCGCGTAGGGCGTTTTCCAGCGCGACAAAACTGAAATACGCCCAGGTGGGAACCATGCCCATAAGGATTAATAGGATTTCACTTCTTGAGCGTTTTTCAGCCTAGAAAAAGAAATTGAGGATTTGGTGTCCTCAATTTCTTTTTCTATTTCAAAAGGGAAATGTCAGGGGTCTATTTAGACCTCATATATTTCACTGCAGCCCCCCCAACAGTAAAAAAAAATAAAAAGTATTAAAAAATAGAAAATGTAAAAAAAAAAAAAAATGTGTACAAAAAAACTAATTAAAAAAAGCACAACCCCCCCCTCCCCCCACATAACATACACATATTGAGGTGTACGCCATGCACATGCGCTGCAGTGCGTTGTTAGAACGCATCGCAGTGCATGATTTTTTAAATGTATTTTTTTCTTTTAAAAAAATTAAATCAACTGTGGCAGCGCATGGCAAAGCTTTGTGACTCATTGCCATGCGTTGTGATACCTTGTGTTGCAATTAAATATACACCTGTATCATTTTATCACAACACAAACACCAAAACAATTTTTTACATAAGTCGATTATTTACAGTTTTGCATACCTTCATTTTTTTACCTTTTCGCAAAAAGGCGCAATTACAAATTTGCTAATATTTGTTATTTATTAACTCAATACAGTTTTATCTTTTAGATTTAGTCAGACATTTTTTGTTTTTTGTGCGCTGATATGGATTTTAGTGTGTTTAATCAATTGAATTGTGTATTTTTTATCGGTTTAATATTAATTTGAGAAACATTTGCGCAATTATCGCAGGGCCAACAAATTTAGTATCACTATCTTTTTATTCTACCGGGCCTTCGCTTTCAGAAAATTGGCTGGCTGGCGGGGAGAAGCCACAAGTTTCAGGATGGCTGAGCGGTGAGGAGAACGGAGCCGCTGTCATCCTGTCAGTTTCCGGATGACAGCGGCTCTGTGCGTGGCCGAGTGGGGGATCAATAAGTATCATTGATATTTACCGATCCTCTGTGTAGCACAAACACCGGAGTGATCGTCTGATCACTCCAGTGTTTGTAAATAACTGGGGACACATGGCGGTTATTCACAAAGCTGCCAAAAACCCGAAGTGAAGTGAGCCGAATGCCGTTCAGCTATTCACTTCAGGCTTGTACAGCTGATTTCAGCCGTACACCGACTGAAATCAGCCGTACAACGGTTTGCTGCGGCTGGGTTCGGGTCGGCCGAAGTGCAGAAGGAGTTTGACTCAGCTAATCTAACATCTGGATCGGCTTAGCCGAACCTCCGGCAGGCTACTCGTTGCTGTTCGGCCTATTCTCATAGGGGCCAAACAGCAGTGAGTGAATAGCCGAATGCCGCCGAGCGCCATTCGGCTTAGCTATTCTGCTCGGTACCTCTCTGGTACCGAGCAGAATAGAAAAAGTAGAAAAAAAAGGAGAAAATGATTGGGCGGAGCTAGCAGTGACAGCTAGCTCCGCCCAACTGTTTTCTATTGGACGGGACCAGATGTCATTACAATGAGAGCTTGTCGGAGCCGGCGGTCATATCAAAGCCGGCTCCGACAGGCTCTCATGACAGTCCAGCGTCCCCTGGTTACTAGGTAACTAGGAGATGCTGAACTGTCATTACACACTGAGAACCCGGCGGAGCCGCAGTGATATCATGGCAGCACCGCCAGGTTCTCAGTCTGTAATGACAGTCCAGCGTCCCCTGGTTACTAGATACTAGACTGAGAACCTGGCGGAGCCGGCGTGATATCACAGCGGCTCCGCCGGGTTCTGTGTATTGACACATGATTTTGGTGTGTTTTAACAATTGAATTGTGTATTGTTATCGGTTTAATATTAATTTGAGAAACATTTGCGCAATTATCGTGGGGCCTACAAATTAGTATCACCATCTATTTATTCTACCGGGCCTGCGCTTTCAGAAAATATATGGTTTGGGGGATCTTTTACAAACGCTAGCAACCCAGCAGTTGAAAATCAAATCAATAGGAAAAAATTGCAAAAATGGCTTGGCCAGATGATTTGAAAAATGTTCCGGAGGGCTTGGCAGCAGGTATTGTAGTTAAAGCGTCGCCTATGGGCAATTTTGGGTATTGTAGTTTCTTGCCATTTCATGGGCACACACAATTTTAAGGCTTGACATTTTTGGTATCTATTTACCCGACACAACCTCATCTTTTATATTTTACCAAAAAATTGGGTAATATATTCTGTGTCTATGCACTAAATTTTCTTTTAGTGTATGTTATCCAAAAAATATTGGTTTGATAAAAATTGCAACTAGCATTTCGTTTTATTTTACAGGGCCTCTGTTTTTTTTTAGAAAATGTATAAAATTGTTTGGGAGTTTTAAGTTAGCCAAAAATTCAGATTTTATTGTGTGTGTAAAAACTAAGAAATTGCTCAAGATGAGAAGGTTAAAAAAAAAAAAAAAATTGTTTAATTTACAGAACTCTTAACATTTTTATTGATTCTTACCTTATAGTTTCTTCTATGAGACGATCAGAACTAAAAAAAAAACAAATAAACATTTTATTTTCAGGAATATGATTATTAAAAATTGCTACTCAAGACAGGCCACGGGCAACATGCTGACACACACACACAAAAAAAAAGTGAATTACAAACAACTTGGCTTAATTTGCACTGAAACTTGAGAAATTGAGAAACAAAATATTAACATTTAGTGACATCCCAAAAAAATTACAAATTATTATTAAAACAAACTATGCTTGGTTTATTAAAACAAATGTCAAAAGGTACTGCGAAAGCGTATTTCCACTTTTGCAGACAAATTGGGATAACATCTATTTTATGTTTGTTACATGTTCCCATTTATATCAGATAACTTCAAAAATATATTTTTGGTTACCAAAATTACCCTGTCGGTACTGTGCTGGCAGATCTGATTTTCAGTTGTAAATTAGATTTGAACACTGTGCGTCCTAACAAAGGTAGAAGATCTAGAAGCATTGAACGCTAATGAGAGGAAATGCAGTCTGTCCCCCTTAGGCTGGGTTCACACCTGGGCGTACCATAGGCGCATTTCTTCTGCTCGTTTTTCAGCATGTTTTTTTGTTTAGTGAAACGCGCATTCGACGCTCGTTTTTTTACCTCCCTGGCGGTATGATTTTTTTTCCCTTTATTTTCTCTATCTTTTTTTTTTTTAAACTTTCAAACTTCCCACCGGTTCCGCCCCCCTGTGACGTGGCCGCTCGCAAGGGACGGAACCCGGTAGTGGCCAGAGGACACAGCGTGGATCGCGGACAAGGTAAGTCCTACGCTGTATTCCCGAGTGTGGCTGGGGGTGACCGCTTTGTGGAAACCAACCGCCAATGGAAACACGTGGCAAATACGCCCCAAAGAAGCTCCTGTACTTCTTTGGGTGTAGGGCGTTTTTCAGCACGTTTCCACAGGCTGAAATACGCCCAGGTGGGAACTATGCCCATGGGGATTCATAGGATTTCACTTGCTGAGCGTTTTTCAGCGCTTCGATCAGCGCTGAAAAACACCAAGGTGTGAACTCAGCCTTAGTCTTGGGGACAGACTTGCTCACAAACTGTTCAGAAAGTACAGTACCGTATGACACTATGTGACATTGGGTATTGAATAAACATATCAAGTGTGTGCCGATGAATTATTTTTATTTACTATTATTGTAATATGCCAACACTTAATATTTACATATAGACAAGACACCAAGTAGAAAACCAGTCTGCTTAAAACAAGGACTGGTAAAAATAAAACACAACGGCTCTTTATGATTTATAATTAATAACACAGACATGACAGCAACAACAAAATATGCTTTCTGTTTCAGGAGTAATTTCCTTTAATTCAGCTTTCAACCAAAACTTTTCAAATGGCCCGTATTATAGCTGATCACATCTGCAGCCACATGGCAACTGCGATCCAAATAGAGGCCAAGATGGCACCTTCCTTGGCTGTAAGGTATAGGGGGTTGGAGTTCCGCTTTAGATTACCACACTTATTTTACAGGTAAAGAGAATCTGAAGCCGCTAGCTTAGCAATGTACCTACGAAAGCACATACCATCCAATTGTCAAAATTCTGCAATTCTAAAATAATTCTCAAGAACAAGTCTGTCCCATTTTTTCTATGGCATCTCCATCAGAGTTCCTCCCTTTATTGTGCACCCAGATAAATTCATATTCGGCAGTAACCACTCTCATAAGAATAACAATGTGTCCTAGTATGAACTCCAACAATGTGCTGATAATACTGGCAGTCATTAATGATGATTAAGCCCACCCCCCAAAAAAAAGTTATATTGCAAAATTCCTTAGAAACAAAATTGGTTTGAGGTACACAGATCCCCAACTCTCTGGGAGCCAACCCCTAGTTAAAAAAACAGCACAGAAGGAAAAATAAGGGTTTTTGTTGGCTAGCAGAGTGACAGATCCAATGAACATCACATCAAAAGTAATTATGTATAAAAATAGAAAATGTATTGATTTGTCAAAACAATTATTAAAAACGAACATTTAGACAATGTAATTGGAATAAAAAGAATTCACCCAATAGGGGAACCTCCTAATGACCCCCTTGGAGTCCCACAGATAAGGTTCAAGTGAGGAAGGACAAGATGTATAATAGGAATATAATACTTCAACTATTAAAGCTCTAATACAGAAAAATTCAAAAGTGAACCCTCTGGTGGGACAACCAAGGTTGGTAGGTGTGTAGCTATGACCGTATGAGTCACACGATGCTGATAAGGCTCGATGCGTTTCGCGCCAAAAGGCGCTTCGTCAGGAGCAGGAGGTAATCCCCTCAGTGCACACTCAGCGGATGCCCAGCACAAGCAGCAAGCAATGACAACAGCCCGTAGTTCCGAGATGGAAGATGGTGAAAGCACATCGGGGGCGCCTGAAAGAGCGACCCAGAAGAGGGTTTTTTTTTTTGTTCTGTTGAAAGATCACAGCAATGGAGCTGATAGAGCAACCCGATGGCAAAGAACTCCACCAGCAGAGGACCGCCGATGCTTGTGTGGCCGTCTCCAGCCACCCACTGTGTGGCTTAGTTGTGGCTGCATCAGTTTCCTTTTTTTTTCCTGTTGATCCTGACAGTAATACACTTTTCAGTTCAGTACACAAGAAGTTACAAGGACAATTAGATTTTTAACAGGATCAATAGGATTTTTTCTATACTCTCATTTACTTAGCCTAAAAAAAGAAGATAACTAATTCAGCCACCACATCTTAGGACTGGTAAGCTGCAATATATTACATTTTTGTTTAAATATACTTAATACTGCCTTCTCATAATGTGCAATAATGAAAATGAAGGACAATACAATGAAAAGTGGTTTAGCAAAACTGTTTGTAGCATGTGCAATATTCTTTACATAAAATAGATACTTAAAACACTTAAAACTACAGTTGTCTGCACAAATAAATCTTCTCACAAACAATTAAACTGCTTCATCCACATTATCCTATTTAATTGAAAGGGAACCTGGTATTTGTGGTCCTTGGGTAGATTTGGTTTCTAAGTGTGCCATGTTTGAGAGTCGTTCTTCAGGAGTCAACGGAATTCCTTTTTTTTTGTGTCTGCAGATTGTCTTATGTCAAGAAGGGTATTTTGATTCTGCACCAACCATTGTTCAGTATCTATAGTTTATCTGCAGCTAGATATATGGGCACACAAAAGGAACAGCAGCAACAATATACAGATTCTTTCACTTTTAAAGAAAATTATTATTAAATTGTTCTGTCTTTTATTGCTAAAAGTATGCAGAACCAATAAAGATGTGAATATAGTTTATGTGTCCTTTTGGAAAGATATCTAGATCCTAGGCATATAAAGTTGCTTAGTGTTCAATGTGCTGATTTACAAAACTGGTGCAAGCAAATCTCAATCACTTGCAGATTCCTTGCTTCATTTTAAAGAAGAACTGCACTTAAGAAGGAGCACTTACCCCTTGCAGTGCAGTGGTTGCCCCACTGCACGGTTTGTTTTCTTCTGCCTTCTTTTGAAAGTTCTTTCTACACCAGGCTTTGTAAATCACTCTGAACAGTACTTTATGTGGTTGTGGGCCTGAAGTGAACCTGCCAAGTCCCTTGCACACCCATCAGTGATGTGCCCAATTATCTTTCTCTTACACCCCTCTACGTTCTCCACACTGAGTTCATGCAGTGTTCGTTGCACACACCATTAGATACAACCGCTCTCCCTCATTATAGAAACACTACATTAAAAAAAAAAAAAACATTCTGCTGCATATGACAAATAAATCTGTAGCCAGAATTATGAAATATAGATCTAATAGTCTAGTGATGCTTAGAAAGCAAAAGTACAAGAATGCAAAGGAATATTTTAAAAGTGATTAATATTACGAATTAAACCACTAAACATAATTACAAAAATATGTTTCTAACATAATTACCAAAATATGTTTCTTTAAACAAGAGATTCCTACAAGATAGCAACTACATTTTCTAAGTTTATGCGATATAATTCAAATCCTGATCGCTAACTTACAAAAATGAAACAGTAACAAAAGCGTGTGATCCTACTGCTTGAGTGTGTTTAAACTCTTTCCTTGCCAGGTCAGCGGGTAGGTCTTTCCTAGGTCATTTACTCTGCAAAAGTCCCTTGTTCAGCAGTGAAAGTAAGCAAGCTAAAGGCATTACTGAAAGTCATTAACATTAACCGCAATGGTTTCAGACATGCCAGGAACAAATCTAATGGATTCTCTTTTACTCCTCTAAAGTAAAGGAATTAACATATGCAACAGCAAGCATTAGGAGTGCTACTGTTCCTTTCACAACCTGCACTTAACCTTCAGGTTATCAGGCATTTTCCAAAACAATCCACCTAGGAGCTCTGTCATTAAAAACAAAGCACAGTGAATTAAGACTTTGTGAGTACTGCTGACTGTAAGTGTAAAGAGGTAGAACAGCCCGTGTAAACTTCAATAATGAACAAAACAGCATTTTTGTACTCCCTTTACTCAAATCATATTCTTGGATTCCATTGAGGGATGCAAGAAGTCCTTAACCTTCAGGGTATGCTGCCACCTACAGCAGGATAGGACACTGCTAAACATAAAACTGTAAGCCAGCCCGGGATAACCCCTCCTACTTCCAGCATGCCTCAGTTTTGTAGGAAAGCAGTAAGGAGAGCAATATCAGAAAGACAGAGGGATGGGACCTGTGTCTTTCATTGAATTTCAAGAAAAGGATTTCCATCTCATTCACTAAAGGGACACAGGAAGTTTTTCATCCTTGGGACCTATAAAGGCAGTCCAGCTGGGGGTGGGCAACAAAGCAAAAAGGTTAAATAAAAAAAAAAAATACAGAACTGGGAACTGCCTGCAGCTCAAAAAGTTGCCTGAAGGACCTCACACCCGAAGCTGGCATCAGATGAGGACAAAATATCCACCTTGTAGAACTGAGACAACAGTATGATACCAAAAAGCTCCCACAGATCAGAGTGCACCTTCACAGAAAAGGGTGGAAACCAATCCCTGACACTGCTTGGTTG